GCAAAACAATTAACGCAGCTATTAGTAAAGTGGCTCAAATATCAAAGGTAAAATCGCCAACAAAATTCGTTTAAATTTATTTAAATTGTTTAAATTGAAAAACACACAAATTAAGTCAACAACAACAACAACAATAACAACAACTGTCAATTAAGAGGCGGTAAATTGTTAATTTAACACCGCGTTAATTTGGCCAAGAATGCATTTTAACAATTGGCAATTGCTTCGGAAGAACGTTTCTGTTTGTAAATATGCCAAATTTTGTCACAATAACGTAGTTTTCCTTTCATTTCTGAAATTGTGATTTAAAAAATCTTCTTTAAAAAAGATCAAAAAGGAATACTTTTGAAATCGAATTCAAATAGCATTGAAGTGGCGCTCTAACAATTAACTACGCCACGATGTATATTTAATATGAAGGACAGTATGTTTACGTCGTACAAATAATACGTATGTTTAATAAAAAAAACAATACTAAATATATACAAAAATATGTATGATAATTAAAAAATATAGTCAAATGTTGAACCTTTTCCGAGTTAGTGCATCTGGGCTCTTTTACTCTTTGATAACTGGAGGTTTCTGCAGAGTCCCACCAATTTCACTGACTAAATTATGTATTCCTAATAAGCTTCGTGATTATTCAATGACTGATCTAAGATCTGCATACCATCCCGTAAGGTTAGTGATTACTCTGAGATTAGAGATTCACAGCTATGACTTGAGTCACAGCTATGTAATACATACCCTGCGAAGGTATGTAGACGGAAAAACAGATTTCATATATACAGAAGCTAGCGGTTTATAATGACGAAAAAAGAAATATAAACAACCGTCTACACTAACGATTTTTACAACTATATAGTCTGTTATATGAGTAGCGGCATTATAGGTATGTCAACTTACATGAACGTTTGTTGACATCCTCATCTAATCTAATTTATTATTTATTTACTGATATCATGAAATTTTATCATCTTTAAACTGCAATCATATTATTATAAGCAAGAGTTTCGACACCTGGCTATGAGTTTTTCTAAATTCAGGTCACAGAGTTCTATATTCCTTTGGATAGTTAAGTAACTATCCATCACTCGTATCAATATATAAGGTATTGAGTGCATAGTCGATTTAGCAAACTTCGGTATCTTATTGATAAAATCACGCCACTTAAAGCAGCAGGACAATTCTTAAATATAGAGAGGTTGCATTCGGATACGTTAGAGTTACTGAATGTAAAGAGCCTTTCCTAGATTATCCAGGTGCTTAGTGATAGGGGTAATCATAGAGGAGATATTTAATTTTCTTAATTAAATATAATAATAGAGACACTATCTGATCAGTATTATTACATAATTGAGTTAGTGTCAATTTTCATTTAGTTTCAATATATTTTTTTTTTATGGATATGGCTAGAATACATGAGATGGATAGACAGGAAGAAAAAAGATATATACCATTTTTGTTTTTAATTATATTAGCCACGATACCAGATTATTAAATTCGATAAATCCTTTTTTCTTCGCCATTTTTGATATCATTTGAAGTATTTGGGATCTGATTAATATAAAAGTTTAGTTCAGTAGTGTTTCATGGTATTCAAATGGTATTCAAATAAGGGTACTATTAATAGCTAATTGGACACTGAAGAACCATTTCTTTCTGTTTAATGGATTAAGTCCGTCACTAGACATAGTTGCATATAGAACTAGAAAATAATAAGTAAACTGTATAATACAACACATACTATAAATATTTCAAAATTAAAATTTTTTTCATTAAATAAGTTGCTATATTATGAAACAGCTGCATTTAACACATGCAGAGGTATATCCCAGACCTTTAAATCCGAATAGGCGTTACTTTATTCAACGGTAAAACCTATTTAATTTAAATATTTTCCAATAATAAAATAATTAACTGTGCCAGTTTATGATAATAAACTAAAGAAATTCTAAATTTTTTTAACACTTTGAAAGTATCTTTTTATATGCAAATCAATCTTTAAATTTAATTTCTTCCACAGTTTTGAAAACCCAGTTCCGAAAACCCATCGTCGACCCTGCTGTACTCACTTTTCGTTTTGTTCGGTGAAGTGTGCGTGCACAAAATACGAGCATAAGTGCCTCTCAACATTGAAAAAGTTGTTGCTTTTGTCGGAGGTGTGAAAATTTGTTGCAACACGTTTTTCCAACAGTTTTTTCGCTTTGTCTTTGTCATTCACAAGTGCATTTGCGGCAATCTTTTTCATTGTCGGCCCATTGTTTTCTCAGCTTTGAATTGACGAAAAAAGTCAATTAAAGCAACTTAACTTTGAGTTAAGTGGCCTTTTTACGAGGGTTAATTTTTGTTATTGTCGGTAAATTTGCTGTCCAACACTAACACGCATTCAGTCAAAAGCCTCGACTTACTGAAGAGGTGAGAGACTCAATTGGAGCGCAAAACGTTTTATACTCGTAAATGTATGTTAGTATGTATGTATGTATGTACAACCAATTAGTGTTAATAAAATCTTTTTCAATTAATATTTATTTATACAAAGCTTACATATTCACTGATATTTTTTTTATAATATATATATTACAATAAAATGTAGTTTATTCCAGAAGTCCGTTCCTTTCAAGTCTTGGTTAAAACTGGGTATACTTACAGATACAAACTGTAGATTCTGAGAAGAGAAAGAGAAGTCGGCAACACATTTGCTGTTAGAATGTCCTGCGCTAATGCACATATGAAATAAGCTCCTAGGAATGTATATTATTACAGAAGAGGGAATAAAACTCTGTAAAGTAGATTCTGTATTACCTACTAAAGCCCTACTCTTAGCCCAGATGGGGGCACAATAGACCCGACGGTCGCAGTGTCGGGTAACCAAGTCCATACTTTAATCACGACTTTATAACTCAAACCTTAACGAGAATGCATAAGTGGCTTAATTTCATTGTTACAGCAATGATTGCTTATTGGAATCTGATTAATCCATATGACTGTGCGTAAATTAAAGCATTTTGATCAGCTATAACCCGGTTATGTATCCATTATTATTCCAGCAAATTTTTTATTCCATATTTCTGATTTTTAAGTCTGCTTTTTATATTATACACAGTAATTTTAGTTGGAACCATTGGTTTTGACGCTGTTGCTTATAATTGTATACCGCATTAGATATACATGGGCTTTATAAATCAAAATTTGATTAAATTTAAGACCTGATTACAATGGGCTAATAGGCCTAAGTGGTTTCACTAGGGATGCCGGTATAATCTAACCTTACCTAAGATCTGATTGTATGACTTTTTAATAGGGTTTTATTAAATACGATGACCTTTTTTTATATATTGTTTATATAATCTGTTATTAAGGATTTTGTTTAGAATTGATTTTTTATGTCCATTTTGATGAAATTAACTAAAGTCTTAAAATAAACAGTAGTGAAATTGAAACAACAAAAATATTTTTATTATTTTTAACTAATTAAAAATACAAAATTTTTTTTATTTTGTTTTGGTAATTGTTTGTTGTTCAATAACACGAGAAAGAAAACAGAATTAATTTAGGAACATTATCTCACAAAATCACAATACGCTAAAATATGTTTTGGGTATGATTTCGAACCCTTGGACATAACAAAGAGTTTTGTACTTCAATATAGCATAGTTTTGGAGATATCAGGCTTCAAAGTTTGGCATTTTTACACATAATTACCATGGAAAAGTAGATAAGAAGTGTTTCTTTTGTCTTGTTGCGTTTTGATTACAGAGTTTATGTTTAATCTACTTTTATAATACTTTCTTATAGAGATGATTCCACGAATATTAACTAATTAGTAAAGATGCGATTTTGATATTGACTAGATTAAATTGCGTTTTTATAATATCAAACTTTGAAGTTCTGTATTTCTGCCACTGGTGATATAATAAATTGTAATGAGTTTAGGTTTGCAATCTGATGACTGTTTATATCATCAAAACGCTTAAGGGCTATTTTCGTAATATATTTTTAAATGCTTTTAACATTCATATTCTTGTGTATATCTGTATTACTTATATAACAAGGGGTCTTCTCAAGTCTTTCTAGGTATATATTGGTATGATTTATATGTTATGATTATGATTTTAATACTTACTTTCATACAGGCATGTACTTGGAATCGGGTTGAGTTTTGTATCAGTTGTAGTCGTTTATATAATCGTTTATATAAAATTTATATCAAATAAAATACCTTCAGACTTATTAATTTTTTAAAAAAAACTTTGAGGGCGTTTTGTAGTTATTCTTTAACAAATCATTCCAAATTATTATTTTCCTATTATATCGCTCTCACTTCCTTCAATGTCTAGCGAACTTCTCCAATATTAATTAATCATTCCAATCACTCCAATCTATATTAAACAAGTTATCAGATTTTTTAACAAAACCATATAATGATTTTCGGATCCAGTATATGGCAGTATCTATCCTAAATTCCCTCAATTAGTTAGAATATCACAACGCATCCACTTCTTAGAGATAAGTTGTGTCAGTTTTAGATTTAGAGATCTTAGATTTAGATGGTTTGCTGCTGGCATTTATAATTTATCTATTATTTAGGGATTATGTATTATAAATTTATTTAATTAACATTATAAATTCGTACAATATAAGAGTATTGAATATTTTCAATAAAATGTTTACTAAATTGAATTTTAACGTTTGTTTTGGCGAAAGAAACTAAATTTTTAATATAAACTATTGTTTTCAGTAGAGAGGTATTTCGAAATGTATTAAATTACAACAATAAATTTTAATTTTATTATTTTATTAATTAATTGAATTTTTAGCTAGAAAAAATGTTTACAATAATTTTTAAACTATTACACATAATGTTACTAATAAATTAAAAATTTTAATGTATTTAAGATATTCGTTCAATTATAGTTTCTTAAGTATCTCAATTATTTATTATAAAAATTATTTATTATGCATATATTTTATTGGAGTCTTTTATGTTGTATTCATAGGATTCCCGCAACTTAAACCGTTCGGTACACCAGGAGGCTGTTTACCAGGTAATTTTTTTTTTTTGATTTGTTTAATTATATTTGCAACGAAAAAATATATAAATTAGTGAATATAGTTCCAATATATATTAAGTCAAAATTTTTTATTTATATCATCACTGACTAAGTTTCAGCCCATATACCAGTTTTATTATATTTTCAATACAAGTAAAGTTGAGAAGTGTAAAATCTTCTCCTTTAAAATATCCTCAAAAGGGGTAAAATTTCATAATTGCACATATTCCTTTTTTTTGCATTGTGTTTATTCCATATTCGCCGTAAAAATATTTCTCCTCATAAAAATTTCAAATTCTGATTTAAAAAAGATAAAATAATGATAAAAAGGATAAATATGAAACCGACGAAATCAGGGAATAAAAACAAGCTTCAAAAGCGTTAATTGCATAAATTGCACAAAAGGCAATTAAAACAAAGGAGAACCACGTGACAGACGACTGCTGCTGGTCGGAATATTGGTTAGAAAAGGAAGAGCATGGACCGAATTGAGATTTGAACTGAGAACAATTGTCAAAGGCAAAAAGGATAATAAAGGAATGTAATAACTAAAATGGCAGTGCTATTTGCTTTGATTTGACGTTCAAAAGTGAATGTAATAGTAGGATAAAAACTGTTGTAAAATTTGTTTATATTTTGTTTAAAACTGCCTTTCTAAAACAGAAGATATGTTATTAGCATAAAATAATAGTTACTACTTAATATGCTATTGACATCGTCATAGGAACTCCACACATGGATATCATACGTCACATCAGGTAAATGAGAAAGTTTTAACAGTCCATGTGGATATAGATCTAATCATCGCTTTAGAATAACAGTCTTCCTTAACAAAGATAAGAGTCTTATACTTGTTATTAAAAATAATGGTTGTAATGAAATACTCAATATTCTTTGGTAAATTGATCAGATTTTCATAAATGATCCTGTATGGGTCGGCTTATATTAAAAATTTCGTAAATAATATATTAATTTGGATAGAAGATCAAAATTGTCTAAAGATTTTCTATAGCTTAGTTCTTTTAGTAAGCTTTTCTAATTTGTCTATGAATTTAATATGAATTATTTTGTCGAAAACTTGCCACTAGACTAGAGAATCTTGAAGGAATATAAATCTAACTACAGTCGTGCAAATCCAATGCATTATTTTGGACTGTGCCTCAAATTTCTTTTCTTTAGTTGCTTTGCTGAGCAACTAATGCTGTGATTACTACTTGATCTACTTGCTTTGTACCATTAAGTAAATATCAATTAGTTGATTGCAGTGCCAGGCCATTAGATAACTTTCATGTACCTAAGTTAGCGATTTTTCGCCGTTTTGCTACCAGATTCCTCGCAAGGACTCTTAAGATAGAACTAAGACTTAGAATTCAGATAGTATTCAGACTAAATCCATCCCACAGAATTTAGATAATTTAATATAGGTCTTTCGTCTTCACCGATGAATAGTCTGATAAAATATCAAAAAAATATCTTTCTAACAACCTATATCTTCTGAACGCTAAAGTCGGGCATTCACAGAGAAAATGTATTGTTTTTTCTTTTTTCTACGGATTTCCACAACTTCTGCAATGAGGATTGTGAGGAATGCACAGTTTCTCTATATGGGTTCCTATACACAAATGACCAGAAAGAATTGCAGTAAGCCTTGCATTGTTTACTCCATCTCTGTTGTTGAGTTCCGAGGATCTATTTTTATAAATTATCCACTCAAATTTTTTAATCTAAAATATATATCTTCAATTTTTAGATAAGATTAGAAAGCCTTTCAAGTACTAAGTTCTTATAGGGCTTTACACATTTTTATATCATTAATCGCAGAATAAATAACATTATTTTCACCTTTTTCGCAACACATGTCAAACTCACTAGTGACTTTCACACAACCATAGGTTAAGCATGGTGTTTTTTTTACATGCTCTGACACAACTCGTAGGTTATATGCATTTGTAAAATTTCATTAATTAAAGTAAAACAAAAAAAATAAACTTATTTAACTTATAAAAGTGTTTAGTGTACAAAATTAAATTTTCAACACATGCAATAAATTTCCCAAATTGCTAATAAAATAAACAAAATTCTAATTTAAGCGCCGATAACACAAACACTACCAGCAGAACAATTGCCAGATAACCTGTGCCAGATAGTGTTCGGAAAAAGTATATCAAATACTGAAAAATTTCATTTTCCGGCATTCGTAACGGTAATAAATATTTTTCACATACACACTTTTTACACGCAATTTACACGCAATCTACACAACATCAGTGCGAATGTGTGTAAGAGTGCGGAAGGATGAACACCACACGAAGGTCGTCGAATAACGTGTCAAGCTTAACATATGAGGTGGAAGGAAAGCCCCTTTGACGTGTACACCTCGTAATGTGCAATTTAACCCTTTCGTTACACACATGAACGAAACAATACATTTGGTATATAGAAGCATATGCGTCGTGTCGAAATTGTTGAGTGAAACAGAAAAAAAATAATTTTATATAAAAAAAATTAACACATAAAAGTCAATAAAATGGTTACAAAACATCAAGTGACAATTGCTCAGATGTGGTAGGATATAATGCAGATGATAATACAAATGAATTCAAAGCGAAACAATTAGATTAGAAAAATATGTTCGAAAAATTTATTTCCTTACAAGTTATTGACTTAATAATGTATATTAGAGAGAATTATTGAATTGTCAGGAGTGATGTATTTTATGATAAGACGTGTGTAGTATGACAGTAGCTCAAAGATAACTTAGTGTAACTTTACAAAGAAGTGAGGCATTGGAAATATATTGGGCTAATATATTGGTCAAATATTTTTGGCTGTAATTCTACAATTATCTGTAAAAAAATCAATATCTAGTGATTTCAACATTGACGAGTGGATTAATACCTTCCGGATTTCATGCCATCAATTCTTTCTTCCTTCTAGATTAAGAGATTAAATCTTATCATCTATTGCAATTCTATTGAAGAGGACTATTCGTTTTTAAATTGACGAAATTGAAAATGATAAAATAGTGATCGCGTCTTTGGTTGGAATTCAAAAAACCCATCATATTTATTTTTGAGTACAACCAACATTGTAAAATTCGCGAAAAAATCAAACCGGTCTAACTCATCTATTTTAATTTACACCAGTGGGACGCTTGCGCTTTGGATGAAGATTTTGGGAGACATTTGCGAGAAGCTATTAATTGAAGTACCGCAATACTTTACCAATAAAAGCGACATCTACTGATTTATCAAAAATATATTCGACGTTGTCAATTAAGTCAATGTTTCAGATTTAGATTAGAGATAATAGCCCAAATAGGACCAATAAATTCCATAAATATAGTAGAAAAGATGAGAGCGAATCCAAAGAACTGGAGAACTATAAATTTATAAGGGATTCAAGTGTTCAAAGCGAAGAAATTAGATGTAGAAAGAAAAAACAGATAGGCTAATAAATAGTGCGCCAAAAAAATGCGGGGAAAAAGTGGAAGTTTGGACCCAGATTGAATCACAAGAGCTTGGCTTTAAATGCGAATATAAAAGAAACCCTCCTCGAAGTAATGCGGAAGCTATGGAAGACGGTCGGTCTGACTGTTCATATAACATATAGTACTCCGCTGACTGTCGGTCTGACGGTGTATAAAGCGTTCCACATCATTCACACAAAAAAAAAAAATTAAGTGAAGATTTGTTAGTCCCTCCTTAGTTAACATACAGTAAAGTGTTAATATTATTGATTTTACAATAGTTTTTCTATAAGTACATATAGAATTGATCAATCAGTTTTTAATTAGGATCCGATTAAAAATGTAAATACAGAATTCATATTTCACTAAGACAGCAGGTTTTAATAGATACAGTTAGTAATAAAAAAGTAAGTAATAAATAGTAGTAAGTAATAGTTAAAAATCAAAGAAAAATCAACTATTATAATATTTCACATAAGAATAGTTCTTCACACACACAAAACATTTTACCATATATGGTTAGTGTACTCATGCTAATATATTTTTTATCTCAAAAATGCCAATTAAAATCTTAACTATTGTAAATTCTCACCGCCTAGCAAAATAACAGGGCTAAGAAAAATGCATTCAAAAGAAATTACCCTACTTGCCAGTACTACTGCAATTTTAACTCACTCGACGTAAAATGAATGTCATCAACATTTTTAAGTGTTGCAAGTAGCTGTTGCAATTGCAGCAAAGAAAAAAAAAGTATTTATAAAAATAAAAAAATAAGATCTTTTGACCGTAAAAGCACGTTTCAACTTCTATAAGCCAAGAGCAGTGAATAGCTCAAAGGCCATTGATGTTGTAAAGAAATGTAACCGTGAGGGGATTGCACCCTCACAACAAACGAGAATGCAGACAAAGTATATCAGATACATAAAGCTTCGAGAGATAAAAGATAAGGACTTATTTTTATTTAATTATAAGCATATAATTAACTACTTTGAATCTCAAGTTAGTTAAAGAACTTAAGTTCCTTTATGTTAGATGAGAAGAACTTTTTAGTTAAGTGAAAAACATGAGAGACACCCTTTAAAATGCCTCTGATATAGACAAATATACAGACGGTTTAATATTTATTTCTGTAAATCAGTTGTGGAAATTCTTATATATAAAGATTTATTATCAAAAAACTGCTATCTTAAATATAAACGATGTCAGCCTGGATATTCAACAAAAATTCAATCTTGCCAATATTATTTCGGAATTGTCCACCTAGTTACTGATAAACTCCCTAAATTGAAGTCAGAGCTCGACAAACGAATACCAGGGTTTATAAAAATCTTATCGTGTCTGTGCAGATAAAACCTGTAGGATCCAGTAATTTAAGCAATACCAAAAATGATATGTGAAAATTCCATAGCATTCGAGAGCAAATTTTTTGAGAAGATCTGTGGTCGGGTATGTGTTGGAACTGTAGCGTGACATTGACTTAGTTAAGTGTATTAAAACTCTGTGGCTTTCCTGTTTAGGTCATGCC